CACGAATAACAAATGGGCAATTAGACCTAAATTTGACATGACACTTTTATTACGCGGAATAATGGATGAGCCTAGATGCTCTATTACCATTAAGTTTTGCTTCTTTTTTTTTGTCGAAAGAAAATTGTAGCCATTGCTTAAAAGGATACATGGGAAGTACAGCGACTTTCATGACAAAGAAAATCAAAGCAGGGCAAATCCCAGAATACAACAAAACAAATCCAAATCCAAATCCAAAAAACAAAGAGGATCAAAAAAGCATCAGCAGGGTTAAGCACATACTCATTTCATAAAAACGGATCTGTCAAGCAAAATAATCGGTGGTCGATCACTGGATCTTAAATCATCTTCAATGATGAGCACACGCCGGAAAGTCCTTCTCCAATAACTACGGCGTTGCCTGTTGGCGGTGCACGCCCAAATTCGGCTTCCTTTGCACCATTGCTAGACAAAGACAACTAAAACGGGTTGAAAAAACACAGATCTAACTCTTGGAAGAGCAAATCTTTGTGGTTCAGCAAGACACCAAAACTCCTATGATCATCAATGAAATTGGAGGTGGAGAACCTGTACAAAAACAGAGCACGGGGATATCGAATCCCCAAAAACATTATTAAATTCCCAAATCTAAATCGGGAGAGAAAAGCTCATAGATCTAGAACTAAATAAGGAGTGTTGACACTCTTGATTATAGAATTATATCGGGAAAAGAGAGCTCTCAGATTTAGATCGGGAGAGAAGAATTAAAAAAACAAAAACACTCGAATAAAATCAACGGGAGGGGAGGGTGAGACTAGCTCAAACCCTCCCCCATGGCTGAAGCTCGAAGAAGACGATGGAGAGACAATAGAGAGAAAAACTTTTCGGCTTATGTGAAACTAGTTTTTTGGGCACCATTAAGTTTTGTTAAAAATGTGTTTTGTTTAACACGCGCTAAACAATCGGGAGCACAATTTAAAATTTACCTATAAAATTTGTTTGCCAAGTCATGCGACAGATAGCAAATGAGTATTTAATCATATTCCTATTACACCCAATAAAAGTTGAGCGTATCACTTAATATACTAATTACATGATCCAACACTAAATACCAAACGTAGGTTACGATTTCTAATGCATTTAATCTTTCTCAATATCCTCATGATTCCATTTCAAATTCTAGGATTAAGTTGTCTCGATTATGTAAAGAGACGATTAGGAGGAAAAAGTAGTGTTTGAGTTTCGGATGGAACGGTTAATTAATAAAGGTTTTTTTTTCAAGCTTGCAATTGTTTTATCGAGTCATAGCTATATCAATCATATGAGCAAATCTCTCTCTTTGCTTAGTTCTTCAAAAGTAACAAAATCTCTTCAATATCCGGGCCAAATTGCAAAATTGGCTCCTCACTTGCAATCAATGTTGACACCTATTTTTAATTTGCCCAAAATTAATTACATAAAATTTAGGAATTAATGTCCTTAATTCCTAAACCAAAAAGATTATTGTTATTTCGTTTATAATAGCATTGCATGTAGACGTAGGTGCATTTTGCAATATTAGAATATATTAAAAAAAAATTCGAAAATTTTTAAAAAAAAATCGGAATGGGCCGGGTCGGGGCCGGGTCGACCCGGCCCTCTCTTTTCTTCCCCCCGCGGGCCCAACCCGCTCCGCCTTTTTCCTTTTTCCTCCCCGCGCGGCCCAGCCCGCCTTTCTCTTTTCTTTCCCTTTTCCCGCGCGAGCTGAGCCCGGCCCGGCCCAGCTCCTTTCCCTTTCTTTCCCTCCAGCCCGGCTGTCCCTCTCTTCCCCTGCTCCTCTGCCTTCCTCTGTCCCGACCGCGCCTGGGACATGCGGATTATCCGCTCCACCGCGCAAAATTGCCACGAAAGTCTTCAGTAGGAGCTAAGGCCGGTGCAGAGCATTGAAGGAAGCAGAGAGTGGCGTCATCATCGTCGACTATACAGGTCAGCGAGAGGAGAGAGAGATAGAGGTCGGCGAGGTTCGATTTTGTGAAAAAAAAAAAAAAACAGAGAAGCCGGGAGAAAGGGAGAGATTGGGAGAGAACCGGAGAGAAACAGAGAAGAGAGAAGAGCCTCGGAGGGTCTTGAGGTCCCAGTCAGCCTCGCCGTCTCCAACAAGCCGACCGGCAACCCCCGGAAGCACCCCCGGTCGGCGGTTTTTGAAACGAAAACAGAGAGAGAGAGAGAGAGAGAGAGAAACAGGGAGATGAAACCGAAAGAGAAAAAGAGAGATTGAGCGAAAAAGATCGCTCTTTTTGTCTGCAGGTTGAAGAACCAAATCACAGGAACCTCCCCGTTGAGTCAGAGGCAGCTGTGATCCACTGAGCTGACGCCTCAACCGGTAAGTCCGCTCGGCCCCCTTTTTTCCCCTATTTCTCCCCTGTTTTTTTTTGTGCGTCGATTGGTCGGGACTCACGCCGGCCGTTAGGCGCGAATCCCGGCCCATACCGATCCTCCTCCTGGTCCATAGTCGCCGGCGGGGGCTAGCCGTAGTCGCCAGAGTTCGCCAGAGCCCGGAGGAGGTCGATATCCCTTGATTTTTGCCGCGCCCCCCATCTGCTCGATGAAATGCCTCAAAGCAGGCTGATTTGTTTTTGGCCGCCGGACGCCGGACGGTAAGTGGACGGCAGAGGAAGCTCGAGGACAGTCCCAGAGGCCGGATTTGGGGCCGGCACCGGTCTGGGTCGGCCAACGGAAGGCCAATTTTGGCTCCGCCGGCGTCTCCGCGTGTTTATGCACGCGGGGTTGACTCAACCCGGTTCAACCGACCCGACCCGGGTCAACGCCCCCGGTCGGATCTGTTGACTCAGGTCGGTTCCTACCCGATCCGGATCAACTGACCCGACCCGGGTCAACGCCCTAGGTCGGGTCCATTGACCCGAGTCGGACTTGACCGACCCGACCCGACCCGGTTTTTTAATATTATATTATTTTTTATTTTTTTTTTAAAAAAGAAAATTTTAAAAATTTTAATTTTTTTGTTTTTTTTCTTCCGAAAAAAAACTGAAAAAAAAATTTTCTCTGTTTTTTTCCTAAAAAAATCAATTTTTTTTAAAAAGAAAAGAATTTTTTATTATTATTATACCTAAGTGTTTTAATTTATTTTTGTATTATTATGCATGCTATTGTCTTGTTTAAATTAGACAAGCCTGAGGTTGCGTGGTAGTATTTTGCATGTTATTTTTATTACCATTGTCTTATTATGCATGTTTTTAATACAATTGCATGAACTGTTGTGTTTTTTAATGTCATCTGACTTAGTTAGGGCTGAAACCTAGGGCTGCATATCTATCCTGACTGCTGATCGTTTATGATTATGCACTCGTTCAATCACCTCACATGTTAGGAAAAAGGTCCTAAAATTAATCAAAATTGCCTGACAAATATTTTCAAAAAATGAACAGGGTGAAAAGGTACCGAAAGGGCATTAGTTATTCAACTAGTGTAACCAAGTCCCCAAACTCGGTTAATCTCTGGTTCTCAGGAATATGATGATTCTCCCATCATCTTATTTGGGTTTTTAATCGACCCACCTCAAATCGATTAGTGGCGACTCTTTGGTATAAATCATTTGCATGTTAAATACTTAACTCTAAGTCGCGATATGGTATGGGCTTGGGAGAGCCCGAGTTAAGTCCTGAACCTAGACTTAGCATGTACCAGGCGAGCCCCCCTTCTTTTTGCATGTCGTTCGATAAAAGGGGGCGGGAGGTCGGTCGCGACAATCAATTTTTCTGCTACTTTACTGTACAAGAGCAAACCGATTACTTCAGTAAGTAATGGGATCCCATTCTCAGAGTCGATTATATCTTTTGAAGTTTCATCAAAACCAATAATTGGAAGATTTCTTCGCAGTGCATGCTTTTTGAAAAAGCTCAAGGGCTTGATCATCTCATCATGTTGATGCCGTAAACATGAGGAAATCTTGAGATGTGGACTAAGAATAGATTTGATACTAGTGTTGCAATTATCCTAGTTCCAAAACCAAACCAATCAAGCTTTTCTCCGGCAACTTTGTGGAGATGCGACCGTACCTCGTATTCGGTGATATCTCTTTAAGATAAAAATGGAATCCTTTCGCAACACGATCAACCTCGTGTTCTCGCTTTAGGATATCGCACATCAACTTGCTTTGCAGAAACCAAACACCTCCATGTTGTTTCGTAGCTACTCCAATATCTGCACGGAAACTACAACAGTCGAATCGAGATGAGATTTGCTCGTAAAAGTGGCAAGAGTCCCCATCCCCAATCTTCACTATGCATGGATCAGCTCAACTCGTCCTTTCCAATGCGGGCGGCACAAACTTAATAGCCATTTCGCCAAGACACGGACCCGTCATGCTTATGTTCTGGAAATCGCGCTCTTAATATAAGGGAGAATGAAAAAACATCATCATCTTGGCGTTCGCGGTCCTCTTTCCTTAGATTGAACTCCACGCATATAAAAATGGAATCCAGCCATTATGAAAAGAAGAACACGCCATGACCAATACGGATCCAAGGCTCCGACTTGGGCACACTCTTTTTAGAATAATTGGTCTAATTTTTTTTCTATTTTTTTTATAAATACTAATGCAACAGCAAGGTGAATGAGAGGTCACCCTGATGGCTGCATAAGCCATACAATCCATATCTGTAGATAGAGTCTCCGGGATTCAAATCTTCAGGCCTCACCACCTTGGACATCAACTGCATCCATATTGTCATTACCTTCTCAATGATCTCCCTCACCATTTTGGCCCTTACTTCACGCACTTGGGCCAGTGCTTCAGGATAAAGCAACTGGGATTGTTACTGCGAGTCCCATATCCCTTAGATGTGAATATTGCGGGCCGCCTGGCCCAGCCCCGACCGCCAAGTCGAGGTCGCGAGGCTGGCCGGCAGGCGGCAAATTCAAGTGAATAAAATCCAGCTCTCCAGGCTTTAAAAACAGCAAAGCAGAGTCCGGATAAATGTAAGGGACGTGCTGCCCACCTTGATGGTGGGGGCTAAAATCAGTTGATGATGATACCATGAACGCTCACACCACAAGATCAACAACAACAATGTAATGGTCTAAGTAAAACAGCGAGCCTATCATATTTAAGAGATGAAACGGTGAACAGGAAAGAGCAATCTAACAAAGGCAGACTCAATCCGAACATAAACATCCACTTAGACATAAGCATCCACTTGAGACATTGACGGTTCTAATCTTATTTACCAGACAGTACTGCAGTAGATCTAGAACATTGAAAAGAAAAACATCAGAGACTGAAACTCAACTCCCCCGGCCGCCTCCGTAAAGCCGCCGCCGCCGCCTCCTTCCTTCTTTCGTCTTGGACATCCTTCGCGTTCAAGTCAAGGCGGGAGGAGGATTGTTGAAATCATGGGTCAACCAAGCCTGTTGCGCTATGTAATAGCTTCCTTCTGGTTCTTGCAACAAACGGAACGACTGAGGGCAGAATCAGATACACGACTCTCAGTATGCAATACGATCGAATAAACGATTGATAGAGAAATTTGCAAAGAATTCACAAGAAATATAAACTTATTAAAAAGGGTAAAATTTCTTTAGGCATCAATTAGCGCTTTTTTCCGAAACTTTCATCGGAGCAACAACAATTCGGTTCACCATAAATCTTATAAACAGATGCTCCGCTAACAACAATGGACGAAGGGATCACCACCCAAGTAGGAGATATTCACTCAACAAAAACGCCATCTCATCCAAACCACCATCCTTCGACACTCAAAAAAGAAAAAAATTAAATAAAATATATCAATGGATGCTTCAACCGATACACAGAGAGAGAGAGAGAGAGAGAGAGGCCTGGTAGAAAAGGTAGGCGTCCGGCTTGCCGTCTAGCCACAAGTAGCCGTAGGCCAAGGCCAACACGCCGCCGCTTAGTTCGCAGGGCAAGCAGGCGATGCCGCTGATCTGCTGCTGGCACTGCTGAAGGGAGGCGAGCTTGGCGACGATAGCCTCCTTGCCCAGGATCATCTGGCCGCTGAAGTTCATCCCCGACTCTTCCCGGTACAGGTTCACCAAGTCCTCCCGGTTCGCGTCGAACGTCTTTAAGTAGTTCTCCACGAACCGCTTGGGCTCCGCCATCATCAGATCCATCTTTTCTCGGTTCCTCGCAAATTTCGCCTTCAGCAGATCCATCTTTTCTCGGTTGCTCGTCGTCATCTCTCCTTCTGGTTCTGTGTGCTTCACACCCACGCGATGCAGACGGCGGTAACCCAAGACGACAAGAGAGAAAAAGCGAGCCCTAGGGATTTCGAGAGTTCTCATTTTATTTGGAATCGTCGGGTCCACCCGACCCGACCGACCCGAAACCGGTCCTTTGGGTAGAAAGACTAAAAGGGCCCCCCTTTTCTCTTTTTTTCCAGTTCAGCCACTGTTCTTCTGCTCTGTTCGGACGCAGCAGTAGAGAGACATCCGGTAAGTTCTGCCTGCGGCTTCCTCTAGATTGACAATATTTCTTAAGAGAAGGCATGATTCTCGGTATTTGTTGGTGCTGCATTGCATTCTGTTGGCTTCGATTTGTCCTCCGTTCTATTTCCTTACCTTTGTCTATTTGCTAGCTTATGATATCGAAGTTTCGTTGCGTCCACTTAACTTTCTACGGCTCTACTGATATGAACAGACGGCACGTAATTCTTGCTGATGAGATGGGTCTTGGGTTAGTCTTTTCTCACGAGGAAAATTTGTGCGCTGAAATTGCTTCTTTGTTTTCCGTGTAAGCTGTCCTTTATGTTTTTTGCGGCAAAAAGTACTGCCTTTTTTTTTAGCATCTCCGTTTGAAGAAAATCCATACCCATTCTTAGTTGTAGCTCCACTTTCTACCTTGCGGTGACTACGAATTTCGCTTTCCCAAAAGCAAGCAAGAAGCTCAAGAAAATAAATCTGGCCAGCTGGTTATTGCAACCAAACAAGATAGCACAAAGCTCGATATCCCCTTAATATCATATGAGATGATTAATCTGGACGCGGCATCATTGAAGCCGGTACAGTGGGGATGCACGGTAAGATTTCGTTGGTTATTAAACTCATAAATAGTATCCAACATGCTGAAGGGCTTGACACGATGGGTTCTTTCATATTGTTGATGAAGGAACTAACTAGTTTGTCTCCCGTGCGAAGGAGCAAAATATCAATTTCAACTTCTCGGTGAAAAATCTGATTTTTAAGTGGGGTGAGGATAATCTTTTTTTGTTCATATTCGCGATACACGTCATCATGTATGATGAGGCATTTTGCTGAAATTATGAGACTCTCTGTTTACTGCATTCTCTCGATTTTCTTTTTACCTAATATATCGATAGTTCTGCACTACGGGTCATGTTTACTGGTTTTTCATGCGGGGGTCTATTTGAAGTACCGGAAGAACGAATGCTTCTCATGCTCTATGGGATCAACAATTGCCGGAGAAATTGGTGCATATGGCTATAGACCCTTCCGTACTCATGGATATGCTTGCTGATGAGAGAGCTGAAGTTGTTAGAAGCTTATATGAGGTCTTTTTCTGGGGATTGCTCTCCTTCAGGCCTGGAAACTGCTCTGCGGTCTGACTCACTAGACTGGCCTAATACTAATTCTGTTGACAGGACTGAAGAATGCAAGCACGTCATTATTACATATAATAGTCATATATCCACGTTTCTGAAAGATCAACGGTTGGTCTTAATTTGTCCATCCTAATTTTTTGTTGAATTTTTAAACAGCATAGACTTGGTTAGACTAGAAGAAGAGGTATATCCTTCCAACCTCAATCCATGCTTATCTCATTTTCGTAGCATTGTCAAACCTTGTTCCTCAGACTTTCCTTGGCATTGGTGGCCACTTCTCTAATAAGGCTGAGTTCGGTGTTAGGCCTTGCAAGATTGATCTTCATTAACTTTAGTACGAAGATCTTTACGAACTTGTCTAGTACAGGGCAACTGAGAAGAGAATGCTTGGCCGAATCGATGCGTCTAACCAAAAAATCCTATTTCCTTCCAATTTTGCAATCTTCCCATTCTTTACCCGTGGCTCTCTCTTCTCCTAATTCCTTCCAAACCACTTCCTTCCTGCTAGCTCCCAAGTAAAATCCCGAATTGGATTCCATATTGATCGGTTTAGTGTGAGCTTGTCCATCGTCTTTTAAACCATGCATATTTAGATTTGTCTCAAGGCTATGAAAACGAATAAAAAGAACAACTCTAGGAATTAAAGAAAAAGATGTAGAGGAGGACCTAGAGTTGTCAAAAAAAGTTATGAAGCAATATACTGGTAGGATGAACGTTATATTGGAGGGAATCCCTGAAAACAACCCAAAAAAGTGAGTCTCAGTCCAGTATTGAGGCAATTGGGCCCATGCATTTTTTTTTGTTGATTTGCAGATTTGGATCAACCACGAATGCCAGAAAAACTACGGATACAAAAATAGTTTGCATTACACAGTTACATTCGTTTTTATGTGACATCATTGAATTATTAGTATGAGATTGTCTAAAAGATAAGCTGTCTCACTCTCCTACCAAAACAAAAGATTATTAAATCATGTACCAAATAGTAGATCAGACATTTGGGCACCCTCCATGTGTAGGTATATGGATGACAGCAGCGTTTGTTCGTAATCTTGCTTATTTGGAGATTGGTATTTGAGGTCGTCCTATGATTTGGGTTTGGTAGTCTTCTAGAACCCTAACCAGCAAGAGCTGCCAATGCCCTGTTTGCAGCCTATGCTATCAATTGGTCAGTCAGCCTATCTGTATTCCGATATCTGCTAAAAAAGAATCTACATGATACCTGTGTTTTTACATCCTATGTAAAAACCGTTTTCTTTTAAGTTAATAGAGGTTTTAAAACTTATTATCAGGTTTTAGGATCAGGACTAGTTCACAGGTGGCTCGTAGAGGCCAAAAAATTCCTTATGTTAACCCCAATAGTATGAATAACTAGAATTGAAACCCCTGCGATGCACGGAAACATACAACTCCATAAAAGTTCAATAAAATCAAATTTATACTTTTAGATAAATATTGTAGTTTCAATAACAATTACTTAATGGAGTTCATCAAAAATAGGTAAAAATGTAGATAGACATTCATATGTATCATTCTTCTCATGAAGAGAAATCTTTTTGTGCCCAAATTTGGTTTTCACTATAATCAAGGTAATGTGTAACTCATATGGTCGACCAATTAAAAAACTGTAACTTCTTCTTATGTTCAATGATATATAATATAATGGTAATTTGTGGAGCTATAACATATATTTTTGGGTGTCAACAAAATTATATTTTCATAATGATCTATTTACTCGGTTCTCAAGGAATAAGAATAATCTCTGCAAATTGATCATTGACCAATCATACTACAAATTTCCTAGCCAGTTTCGTTGTCATTATTTTTATCGATTTAACAACATATAAATGGTCTTTTTATATGAATCTTGCACATAAGATATATTGGTCTCGATTTTACTATAGCGGGGTATACTGTTACAAAGACTAGATATAATTTTATTAATTCATGTATATTTGTAGTGGGAGAAAAATAAGGTGCCCATCTAGCACCGCGTTATGTCATTGAGAAATGCAAAATGGCGAATTTTTCTTTTTTTGAACTTTTTTTTTGGGTAAAGTTTCTTTTTTTGAACTTTGTTTGTTATGTAATTGGAAAATCAATATTGGATGTCTAAGCATTGTTTGAAATGATTTGTGAAAACCAGTCTCGTATAAAATGATGTGAACTCGATTGTTCTATTGAAAGAAAAGTAAATATTTTGATAAGATTTGCAAGTGGATGATTGGTTTTGGTGAATGAAATGAAATAAGGACTTTTTTGGTCGGAATAAATAAGTACTTAGATATACCAAAGAATATGTATATTTTTTGTGGATACCCTATTAATCACCAATTAGTTCCAATATTTTAAGAGAATAACTTTAGGTTATGTATAAAAGGAAGTGTGAAGTTGAAAGAACACAAAATGAATAGAAGTTTTCAAAAGGCCAAGGAAATTGTTTAGGATAATTACAGCACAAGTTTCAAAACTTGCCAATTTCGTGTATTTAAGTTATAAATTTTTTTTAACCGACCAAAAAAAAAGTTAAAAATTTTTTATTTCGTGCACTTGTGTCCTTTCATTACCTCCGTCAATTTAAAGTAAAAGAAAATACCACATGATTTATTTTATTATTTCCCCATTTAACCGTTGCCCTCACCGATGGTCATGCGACGGGCGCTGACAAGTGGGCTGTCCGCCTCCGATAGCCCTTGACCTCTACAATCTTCTTTCTTTTTTATTTATTTTTATTTTCGGTCTTTGTTTATTTTCAAGTAATTTTTACTTTTAGTTATATTGGTAATTTTTAAAGTTAAATTATATTGGTAATTTTTCTATTTCTTTTTCTTAAATTTTAATTTTTTATATTTATGATGCAACGCCAAAAAAGGACGTTGATTTTGTTTCAAGAGCGCTCCATCACCATATCAATAGCCATATAAGATTAAAAATGCAATAAAAGAAAGCCATGTGGCTTTCTCTTTTTTTTCTACCCATCCAGAAAATATTCAATAGTATTAATGCGCCACGTCAGCTGCTAATATGCCGTGCATTTACCTAGTCAGTTTACTCACAAATTGACACGTGGCGCCGTGTCATTCTATAAAATAAAATCATATGAAAAAGTTGACTGATGGCATAAATGCAAATGGCAGCTTTAATAAAAACAAAAAAAATTTGAATGCCCACCCATATTTTTTCAGAAGCGGACCGTTTCTTGTTTTCCACTTCAGAGAGAGCTTGTCGTCCAAATTCTGTTTTCGCTCGACCTTCATCTTCGCTCAACCGCCCGCTTCGAAGGCCGCCGCTTTTGCTTTGAAGACAACCCGACTATGGCTTCAAAGACCTACATTTTCGCACGAACCGCCGCTCAACCGTTGCTTTGAAGGCCTCCATTTTCACCTCCATTTTCACAAAGACTGCCGCTTCGAAGTGTCAAACCACCTATGCGCATATAGACGGAACTGGCAAGATTTTCTCCCTGGGCAAAGCGATTATCTACTCTCTATTTCTCAATAATCCTTGGCCATGTTTCCATCTTCATAGCCATCAATTGTCGCCGGAAATCGGCTGTGTTTGTACTTCATAGTTTCGATCTCAGCGACGTTCACCGAAGAACCGGAGTTGCATTTGTCATTACCTATTTCACCGGTTTGAGTTTTGACAATGTTCATTGCCCTTCGTTGTGGTCCTTTGCCGTGAACTACCCACCA